CGTGCGACGAGCCTGCGGTGCCCTTCTCCCGTGCCCTTAGCTCAACGTGACGCCTTTCCGGCGGTATCTAGCTGCACTTCCGGTCTCTGTGAGAAGTGACATTGAAACGGGTGTGTGTGCGGACTGCGAGTTTGAGGTGAGAGGCCGGGGCGGCCGTAGAGGAAGAATGAGACGTGGGGGCAATGAAGGGTACATGGAAGGGAGGCTGAGGCCTGCAGTAGGATAAGGGGCGGAAATAATTAAAAAAAATTATATATACTGTACATATGTAAATTTTATGAACTTCATAAAATGTTTTGCTATCAATTAAAATATAAATTGCATAATTATACTATTTTAAAAATATACTCAGAAATAATTTAATATGAAGTTCGGTCAGACACAATTATGCTTGTTTGTTTTTTTCCTGCGGGAAGAAAATAGAGGTTGCTATATTTGACCTTTTGCCCGGTTGTCACGGTGATGCCCACCCCCTTTTTAAAGAGACCCTGTCTATCCCTCCCCTCCTCAAAATAACTACTGCAGGTATGTGCACCAATCTGTAGCCTCTTCTAAAAGCATCTCTTTACCTCCAGGACATTTTTAAAGGCACAACGCCTGCACTTCCTGCTAGTGCCAAAGCTTGCCTGTCTCCCATGCCCATTGACCAGTGTGGTAGCCCATCATAGCTCCCCCAACCCCAAGATTGTGGGGAGGAGCTAGCAGCAAGCTCTGACACTTGCTTATCCTAATAACGTGGCATCTGTCCATAGAAGGAAGTTGGCAGTGGTTGCATTTTATTTTTGGGAAGGGGGGTAGTTATTGAGTCTTTTGTCTTTATAAATCTCTATCCATCGTAGAAAGGATGACGCGTAGCACAGATATTTCAGTGTTAGGCCTCATTCACACGTGAAACGCCGACCCGCACAGGTCCGCGCTGCGTACACGGCCGCATCGGGCCGCTCCCGGGAAGGACAAGTGCTGCGTGTGATTTATACGCAACAGCCTGTCCTTCTCCATGGGGGTACACAACCGTACGCACCCGACCTGCATGCCCGTTCGGTTGTCAGTACTCGTATGCTGACAGGATGGATCCTGTCTGCGTCCGCATCCGTACGGACGTGCAGGTTGGGTGACTGTACGGCTGCGTACTCCCATGGAGAAGGACAGGCTGTTGCGTATAAATCACTGGCATAAATCTGTATGGTCTGGCCGTTTCTCGTGTGAATGAGGCTTTAATGTATACAGTGATATGTTGGTAATTTGTATTCTATTCTGCGGCTCTCTAACTGTCTTTTTTTACTCCATTTCAGTAGGCAAAATGGCCGACGATATCCGTACAAAGATTGCGAATTACAAGACCGCACCATTTGATGCCCGTTTTCCTAACCAGAACCAGACCAAACATTGTTTCCAGAACTACCTGGGTAAGCTTTTTTTTTTTTTTTTTTTTAATGGCCGGGTCCTCCCTTCTGAGCCTCCCTATTGGTTAGTGAAGCTGTCCTTTATACCAAAGGACCAATAGCGTCCCTTTAGAGTTGAGAAGGTGCTGGACCACAGGAAAAGGTAAGGCTGTGTGGACTCAGCTGCCTGTAACTCGGGATCAGCTCATTGTTTTGACCTGCGGCTGTTGTCGTCACTGGCAGTACCCATAGTATGCGTGGTATGAATGGCCTAGTTACTAAACCGACTCCCCCCCCCTTGCTACTACTATTCACCTACGTTTTTGGAAGGGGCAAAAAAAAATGTTAGAGCCACCATGTGACCATCATTAGTACATCTTCTAGCAGTGAACATCGATGGCCCACTGCTGAAGTCTATCTGCGTCCCCAGTGTTATAGCAGCCCATCCGTGATAGACAGCCAATAGGAAACATCCACATCATAGGACAGCCACCCAAAAATGGATCCTTGGACTTTGACTGTCCAGAAGATAGAAGACCTGGCACATTGTGTACCCCCTGACCATGGATTAAGGTAAATATTTGGGGGTTTTAGTGTAGTTTTTTTTACAAAAGGGGGTTGGTTGTGCCATCAGCTGAAAAAGGAATACATGGAAGTTCCATCACACTTCTGATTAGGTCTGCAATTACTTAATCGATAATCAATAATGAGAATCGTCATCGATTAGTTGGTTGGATCCTCTAGTTCTTTCCTCCGCATTGGGAGCCGTTGTTTCATCGGTTCTGTGTTCCAGCTGCTCCCAGCAGGGATCTGAGGTGACACAGACCCCTGCAGCTGGTGCTTACGATTGAGACGAGCTCCCAAACCTCCACCCTCATCTCTCTGCAGCTCTCTCCTCCCTGCTGGGAGACTGCCGCATGCTGCGCTTTGTGTCCTCTACGATCCTTGCTGCTCTCCCCCGCCTGTATTGGCAGAGGTTTTATAAATCTCTATCCATCGTAGAAAGGATGACGCGTAGCACAGATATTTCAGTGTTAGGCCTCATTCACCCGTGAAACGCCGACCCGCACAGGTCCGCGCTGCGTACACGGCCGCATCGGGCCGCTCCCGGGAAGGACAAGTGCTGCGTGTGATTTATACGCAACAGCCTGTCCTTCTCCATGGGTGTACACAACAGTACGCACCCGACCTGCATGCCCGTTCGGTTGTCAGTACTCGTATGCTGACAGGCTG